CTGTTTCACGTGTCATGTTAAGTAGAGACTTTAAGGAACATTTTCACATGAAACATCAAACGTAACTCGTTTACTTAATCCTGCAGCTCCATACTGTTTTTAAGTATTGTCTAAGTTCAAAAACAGTACCTGTGTTACCATGATGTTTTTGTCAGTAAATTTCAATCACAACTCACCAATATCTTCTATATTTGTTGTCAAATGTTTGTTCTATCAAATGACATTGGTGTCGCCCAGCTCATTCGGTCAGTCATCCCATGCCATTATTTTTGCCATTTGTCATGGTTCAGAAATAGGGGTATGCTTAACTTTTTTTCTTTGTGTATAGGTCGAATATTGTTGTCTGCTCCGTAAAAACAATATTTACTAACTCCTGCTTCCAGGGATGATAACATTGAGCAAACTTCCGGGATAGTCTGTACCAGGAACATAGACGCGTGTAGTCCCCCGTGTTTTTTTAAGCAATTCCTACTTAGGCTATCGTTTCTTATCTCCACCTTCAACCAACAAGAGAGCGGACGAGCGCAATTGTGTAACTTCTGTTATGATATTTTAAAGTTTAAAACACCAGGTACCAGTCTTTGAATTGTTTTATGACGTAGATCGCTTTGCTTCGGAAACGGTTTTTTAATCCACATAGAAGAAGGATCAAGCTGTCCTGTTTTTTTATGAGCGTGGAAAGGTAGTGTTGCCTTTTTCATCACATCGCGGCATAATTGTCCACAGCAATGAGGGATCGAGAAACGTAAACGTTTTATTAATTCACGTCAGAAGGAAAATTCAGGGCAGGCGGGTGATGTGAAACTCAGAAAACGATACGGACAGACTCAGACCAAGTGGATCAGTGACTTGGTTGATTCCTTGCTACCTACCCCGACCGTGTGGACCGAGGCTCATTATATCGACCACTTGTTTGTCGGGTCCAGACGCGATTACAATTGCCGCGTGCGGCGTTGAATAACAAACTAGCAAACCTACCACTACTTCTAATTCCAATATACAATGTACAGTAAACTACGGTTATAACGAACACGCTTATAACGAACTGACAGATATGACGAACTTATTTTGGGGTCCTGGCCATTTGCTGTATATATGCCGTACATATTCTTATAACGAACTACGGTTATAAAGAACTAAAACTAGTGGCCCATTTCAGTTCGTTATAACCGTAGTTTACTGTACAGGAATTAATGTGTAAATATGTTCCTGGTTGACAAATATTACTGTATTGGGAAACATTTTTGTTCATATCTAATTCTCTTTTCCCCCGCAAGTGTCTGTTTGTTTGTTTGTTTTCTGTATGTTGTTTCAAGAAGGAACCGACAGCGAAGTGAATGGGTCATCCTGCCCCTGGAAAGGTGAGGCGAGGTGAGGTGAAATTGGGTTGAACGTCGCGTCCAAGGTTATTGCACTTATATAGCGACGTGTGTGTGTGTGTGTGTGTGTGTGTGTGTGTGTGTTTGGCTGCTTGTACTCCGGACTAATGCCGATTTATAGTGCTAGCACACTGAGATACCATGCCGCAGTTTAACATGAATACCCCACTCAGACACAGTATACTGACTCCGAGCCGACCAGTCCTTGTTTTAGCCCCTTAATGCCGAGCGCCAGACAGGGTAACATCTTTTAACGTCTTTTGGTATGACGCGACCGGGAATCGAACCCCGGACCTTCCGCTCTCCGGGCGGACGCTCTACCACCAGACCACGGAGGCGGTCTCCCCTGGAAAGATTCGGGTTGGAACAGGTCTTCAGTCGGTATCGGATGGACAGGCTCGCTGCCATGTCATCGTAACCAATCGTGGCGAAGATCGATATTCAAGATATCAATCACTTGATTGTCTTGATTAGTTTCATTCGACAAAACAAACGTCTCCAGGGTATATTATCACAGAATGGGGTCATAATACCCTGGATTATCGAGGATGCATGTATGTTATAAGGAGTCACATTAGTAATGGAATTACTGGCCGTGCACAGTGTGAGACCTTGTACTCATGACAACGTACCCCGAGATCGTGAATCGTTGCTCCTATTATTAATCACTTGTTCCACTTATCCAATTAAATTATAAATACGTTTCGTTTGCTGTTTACAATTGGGATATGGTGACACGCATTAACCAACTCAGCGAGCCTGACCACCCGATCCCATGAGACGTCTCTTATCATAAATATGTAAACATAATCCTGTTTCGGAATGAACACTGAATTTCCTCAAAATATCTGTCGACAATCAATTTTAAAGCATCATCCAATGTGGAAATAAAATCATTTCAAATCAAATATTAATCAGTATATCACGAAATATGTGTATCGAGCTGGTCTTATGGAGTAGGGGAAGGCTCCTATGTGCCGTGTGCCGGGAGCCACAAGGAAGTGCCAGTAAGCGTGAACCCAGGGGAGAGTTAAGTTACATAGACTGGCGGCAAGTCTCCCTCGCCAGATCCTTTATTACGAGGCTGTAGAAATACGGGACGCCCCTAACTCACATCCGTCTCCAGAACTCTCACGCCGACTTCTTGAGATAATTAAAATATTTTTTCAATGTTCTGCACTTTTTAATATAAATATAGTGTTTGTCAGAAAAGTTAGTTACATAGTTTACTTAATCAATTCTGGTTTATTTACGGTAGACGAATTTATATGACCATAGTGTTATTGCCAAACCCTTCAGTCAATTCTAATTGATCCAGACTGCACAATATCAGGGGAAATCATCATTTCATCTCTGTAGTGTTTTGGTACCGTTAACAAAGGCGAAAATATTGCATTAGTGTGTCGCATCATGTATGACGAACAATACACAATAAATTACTAAAAATACAACATCTGGCCGATTCAAATAATGGGGATTGCTGATTGTAACAACCTGTAAATACCATGGTAGGTGAGACGCCGTTTATGCTCCTGATTAGAATCGGTCGTCAGCAACCCATGCATGTCGTAAAAGGCGATTAACAGGATCGGGTTGTCAGGCTCGCTGACTTAGTTGATGTATGTCATCTTATTCCAATTGCGTAGATAGATGCTCATGATGTTAATCACTGGATTGTCTGGTGCAGGTTCGATTATTTACAGACGCCGTCATATAGCTAGAATACTGCTGAGTGCGGCGTTAAACAACAAACAAATCATCATTTATCACCATGCATTTGGTGAAGTCTACCGTAAGGACGAGCGCAGGATTCTCTGGAATGCTGAGAACACCGCAATCTATGTGTACAAAGCTTTGGAATTCCCTTTGCCTCCAACATTTGAGAGAATTACCCTATCGCATCAGCATTGCAATTGCACATTCATCCAATGGGCTTTTGACGTTCAATGTGTATTGTGTAGTACAGTGGAATATCTGCTTCGGACTTCATTGCGTCATTGTTTTGACATCCAGGTGAAATGAACGTTTTACTTATTGTGGGGCCGAAAGTTAGTCTGATTTTTACAGAGGCCTGTGTTAGGAATATTATAGAAGTATTATTATGAATCATAGTATATTCGGCACCATTGATATCGCCTTGTATTACAAATGCTGATTAGTTAAAGTCCTGTCCCGACAGATTCCACTGTGCACGGTAATATTTGTAAATGTAATAGGTGTGAAGAAAATATGTCCATATTAGCGATAGAGTTCGATTCCTTACATCGGGGTAATGTTTCGTTTGAAGCCCATTCCTGCAGCCCCCCGACGCCGTGATGTAGCCGTTGAAGCGTATAACACCATACACATGCATTAAGTGCACACAATGAACTCAAACTTTGGGGTACATGATAACAAAGACATTTATTCATAACAGAATAATAAACACATATAATATATCCATTGTAATAAAAAAGGTGTGTTAGGTATACCTGCTTCAAATAGCTTCACCAGCAAATATTAACACACTCGGGATACTGTGACACTCAATCAACCGAGTCACCGAGTCCGACCACCCAGTCCACGTAAGTCGCCGCTTACGACAAGCACAGGTTACTTGAGGCAACGCCTACTTCTTTAGGACTCCCCATAGGGTCACATCAACATTTAAGGCCATTAATACATTTATATTTGTTATTCAACGCCGCACTCAGCAATATTCCAGCTAATGACCACGGGTCTGTAAATAATCGAGTCTACACCAGACAATCCAGTGATTGACATCGTGAGCATCGATCACGCAAATGGTATACGATGATATGCATCCCGTTAGTCGTCTTTTACTACAAGCATGGGTTGCTGAAGACCAGTACATGTACTAACCCTCGCGTTCTTGGGGTCGTGATTACATAATTAAGAGAGTATTAGATATAAACACAGAGCAAGTAGTACAAATGACACAATTATTCAAATGAACAGTTCACTCATTCACGTTGCCCTAGCGACTGTCACTTCTGTCCATTACACATACGTATGGAAGTTCCTTCAGACGACACTGAACTGAACTTTATATACATTTGATGGCTAATGGTGGTATTAGACTAGATGTACAAACATATATCTACAAAATTGAAAATATGGAAAAGAGTAAACTAAGTGAAGAGCCTTTGACTTTAAGTGAAGTGATTCATGTATTAGGGGTGTTCTGTAAACGTCAGATCTGAGAATAAGTTTGTCGGCCTTTGACACAGTGCATGGGTTGTGTCTGTCTGGACTGCTTGAGTACTCAGCTCAATGATGCCCAGTTTGCCACTGGGTGCGTGAGTAGATCTCTTGTCCCCAACAGTGATAACTCACCGGATGCCTTTTGTGTAAGTTCTATTCTTTGAATGACATTGTTATAAACTTGTCACAGCTGCTGCTGCTTAATAAACCGTAAGGTGCAATATATAGTTCTTTGTATTGTATTTATATTCAGGTTGGTATTTCTGCTATCCAAAGTGTGCAGTGAGGCCTTCTTATTCTTTATAGTAATTTTGGAGACAAAAGTGCTAAGTTTATGAACACACAAATGTCATTTTAGAAAGTGGTCATATGTAACAAATGTTATATTTTTGATGACACTTTCTTAGTAAAGTTCATAGCTTTCGGCCATGGGAGCTGTGCCAATTTACACTTGTCAGAACGGTACACAAAGTACGTGATCTAGACTACCAGTAGTCGTACTTCCATTTTTGCGTAAGCCTCGGTGGCTGAGTGGGTAATTAGATAGGGACTCAACCAAACAAAGTGCGAGAATTTGTACTTTACTAAGAAAGTGTTGTCCCAAATATGACACTTGTTACATATGACCACTTTCTGAAATAACATTTGTGTTTTAATGTGTTGTTTAGTTTCGGTTGTTTTGCTTGTACATTCCAGGAAGTGGGCAGTGTTCCCATATTTATAATGTATTGATTACAATCTAGTAGTAAATAGGGTTCAAACACGACTTTTATAGTTAATTTAGTCCCATGAATTGCACACTACATGTTCTTAATTTGCTGCAATTTCGCGTATTTGTTCATTGGAATATTTAGCTCTCTTTCACTTATCCAGCCTTGTAATAAGTGGATAATTTGTCAATTGCTTTACGCTAATTTCTATTAAACAAGTTTTCTATGGCCTTCCACTAAGCACAAACATCAAATATTCAATATTCAAACAACATATCTTCTTAATGTCACTCACTCATTCACTCCAGTATCAACCTTTCACTCACTCTTATATCAACCCGGTCCTCATTTTTTGTAATAGATATACTCTTATGTACTCATAACGCTTTCTCTTAAATAAGCGCATATCCAATCTGTCATGAATCTGAAACAAAATAACGTACTAAAAGTTACATACATGACAACTGGACAAAATTGTAACTACATACGTGTATGAACAATTGGTTCAAAATCCATTTACAGCATTGTTAGATGTGAGAAGAAATATACTACAAATAGGCCTATACATGCATGTATGTAGGAGAATTGCTCACAACTATGCGAGATGTTTATTTGCGCTTCTCAAAACTGTTAACGTGGCAAGCATTAAATATTTAAGTCAAATTTCGAGATAACGATATGTTATACCATGTCTAATTAGACAGATGCGGGTAAATTTATATGTATTTGTATAGGCGGTCGCGACCACAGACAAGGTTCGACATATCGGTACATTCGACAAAACACGGTTCGAGTATACATGTTGAAAATGCAAAAGTAGTATATTTACACAAAATGGTTTCAACGAAGTGACAGTCATTTAAGGATTACATGACTTCGACCTACATGACTTCGACCTGCATGACCTCGGCATTTTCTCTCCTCTTTAATATGCTGACAAATCCTTTCATTTATTATTGGTATACTCATATCCACGAACATCACACTCACTTACTCACTCACCCACTCAAGAATTACATACCTGTGTGCCTTGTTTCGAAATGCTTTCTGGCATGGTAGAAAATGAAATCTTCCACCACTTTGAGGAAATAGTCGTTCCTGAAAAATATATGAATCGAGTGACAGCAATTTTTGTGATGGCTGAAGCCTCATGTTTCTGTCACCCGTACAACCATTAGGACAGAACTATGTATTACAACTTACAATCATCAGTCACATACCTTGGACGTCCAAATTGTAGTACAACATCGGGTAGTATCAGATTTCTTTTTGTGATGTCATAAAGTCTGAAAATGCAAATTAAATAAATCACTACATCATTTCTGTATATTTGTTGGTAGTGTATAGCGTAAAAATATCGGTCAGTTGTGGAAACAAAGCTTATTCGTTCTTAATACGCGCTTGATTCTTATATAGTGATGACAAACAAACAGAAGCTTCTTGATGGAAAATTAAATATGTTCCTTAAGTTTATTTTATCCTATACTTACCTTGGACCTCTTGTCCTCGTCACCAAATGTGTCTCCATGGACTGCATCAGTATGGCATATCCCTGAAAGCAGTCATTCTATCATTAAGTCATGTCATGTACTCTCAGTATAAATTTACGTGTAAAAGTTTGGATCGAAAATATCTACATATATGGGCATATCCGCTTTAGACAGAGGCCGGTTAGACAAATGTCACTGTAGTATGAACATACCGTTTATCTGTAAGCAAATTTAATATGTAACTCAGTATTTCTGTGTTGAGATGGTTATCAGTATTTCCAAACACTGGCAAATTAATAGGCGTTTTCAACATTCGTGAAGTCAAATTAGAGTAATATTTACAACAGCATTGAGGTGGGACATGGCCCTGCTCCTCTCCAGCTTCTTTCGTTGAAAATAAAGCACATGTCTCCTGAACTCTTCAGGTACTTCTTCTGTATCATTTGTTGGGTACCGGTACAGCCTGGGTACATCTTCATCAATTATCTTTTCCAACTAAAGGAACAAAACATTCCTAGTTATACCGTTCATCAAGTGTACACAGAAACATATTTATAAAGTTACAAATCCAATGGAATAAAAACGTCATCAAAAATACGTTTTCATATTGTTATTCGTGACACATTTACTACAGTCTAGAGATTGGAAATTAACACTATCTATCTATCTATCTATCTATCTATCTAATTATCTATCTATCTATCTATCTATCTATCTATATTGAAACTCACAAGTTGTTATGCCAATATAATATTTACAACTGAAACTGTAGGTCAATATATATGAATGTTCATACCACATTTCGGAATTCTGATCGTTCCACAGTCCTCAGCTCCTCGAGATCATCAGCAAGTATGTTCACTTGTTGGTCACCATATTCCTTCATGTCTACTGCAGGAACCGCTATTTGTATTAAACAAACATATTCATACTTTGAGTTTATACCATGGGCATCTTTTTCTCTCTGTGTGTTTGTCTGTGTGTGCATGTGTGTGCGTGCGTGTGCGTGCGTGCGTGCATGTGTGTCTTAATTCTTATATGAGGTTGGTTTCTAAACAAATACTCACGCATGGCTTTTCTTGTCACTGTCGTCTTTTCGACACATTTTGTGCTGCAATAATATGTAGTAAATTAATAATTATCTCTAGTATTCCCTCTTTCGCAACAGTAAATGCAATTAGTAATTATTCTTTCTCCAATATATTTTAATTGCTGTATGATAACTGCCTGCAAACTTATGTGACTAGTCGATGTGTATCAAGCGACACAAGTATAGAAATTTATTATTCACAAACTTATGATATCGTCTTAATCGTATCATGTTTCAAGCAAAGATTTATTATGATTATTAAAATGTTTTCATATATTATTGTCAAAAGTATCATACCTTTTAAGCTGCACCTCAGGATTCGGTTTCTAAATGAAATACAAACAATTCTATGGTCATTCACAAACCAATTTTTAACAAATGTATACTATTTATCAACCTAAGATACGAACTGTACAACACTCTCGTAAGTCTTCTTGTGATGGAGCAAGAACAGAACATTCAGTTATTTCATGAATCAGATTTTACTTTCTGTACCTGTGTTTGGATCTTCAATGCCGCATATTCAGGTCTTCGTATTCGTTTCAATGGCAGAGGTTGGTCAGCACACCACGAATCCGAAAATCTCTTCTGATTCAGAAACATATAGAAATGTATTTGTGTCCTGAGTGTAGTAACAGAATTTCAGGAGCGAATAAATTTTATATGAAATTTTGAAACAGTGTACCATTATTACTAGTTATTATGTTTAATGAATTATAGTACGAATTAAATTACGTCAATTCTATATTACCTTATGAAACCAGAAAGTGCACGTGAATACAACATGTATATAGGGTCGCATCACTTCCATGCAAACTTATGGAGATAAATTCACTGAATAAAAGTCGGCAAGTACAGACCCCGTTTTTCCGAAAAGCATGGGTTGTTGAAGACCCTTTTCTGACCCGGATCTTCACGGGTGTATTTTAGGTATGAATCATAACAGTTTGTTGTCATGGGTACTTAATGCATTATGTGCATAACACATGCATGTGTACTAGTTGGTTGGTTGGTTTGTTGTTTAACGCCGCATTCAGCAATATTCCAGTTATATGACGGCTGTCTGTAAATAATCGAGTCTGGACCACTGGACCAGACAATCCAGTGATTAATATCATGAGCATCGATCCACGCAATTGGGATAGATGACATGCATCAACCAAATCAGGGAGCTTGACCCCCCAATCCCGTTAGTCGCCTTTTACGACAAGCATAGTCGCCTTTTACGGCAAGCATGGGTTGCTGAAGACCTATTCTACCCGGATCTTCACGGGTCGCATGTATACTAAATGTATTTTCAGTACTACATGAAATGGAATCGACCATCTAGATGTATCAGTGAAACCTCATTATGTTTTACCACTGGAACTTGCTCCCGCAGTCCGTATTTGCTTCGTATTTCCTTTGTTGTATTCTGAAATGGAACGATGTTCCAAGTAGCACATATTTTATAAGTAGAATAGAATTGCATGTGAATTACTTATTGAATATTCGAAATACGGGGATATATTTGTGACACATACCTTTGGTTAGCTTACGAACAATAAACAGTAGCGTATATGCCCATTACTGTCACAATTATTCACAGTGCACAAATAAAGTACCTTTGGTTCCACATCCTTCACTGCATTCAAAATTTCTTTGGCTATGAAAGAACGGCAACTGCTCGGGTCACACTGCAAAATATGTCATGTTTTTATTTTAAAAATAATCATTGATACATATCGTCTGTAATATAACTGCTATACATTAGAACTTCAATACACCAAAAAAACGGTCGTACCTTCTTGTCCTTGCTGCATTCGTTCCACGCATACTGAAACACGAAATCATATTCAATGTGACCATTAAATCACTCACTATTCCAGGTATTCTTTCATTTACATAAATTTAAAAAAAATATTTTCTTCATAGTAACCGTGAATAAGTCAAAGTGTAATCAGTGGCGAGAAAATATTTAATCGTTATTATTCAGTTTTGAACAACTCTTTCTAAGACCTTGCTGTACTCACTATGCATATGCAAACACCACAGCTTGTAGCATCCGTCTGTGTGGTGTACTCATGACTGACCTCTACGTTGAAGTTTGATAGGTCAATTGCATCATCTGGTACATTCTGAAGTCTGTATTCCATGAACTCCCTTTGAAGAAAAGTGCAAATGCAATGAGTTTGGACCGACAGGCAACGCAGCAGTTCATAGTAATAACGTAAGCAGCCATGTACTTGTAAGGCTATAAAACTACTTCATTTATTAATATAGATGTGGCGAAATAGGGCATTTACTTATTCAGCAACCCTACCTTGTTGTGTTGACCACGTCTTCGTCTAATCTCCGGTTCAAGGGGTCATAGAAGCGCATTCGTTTGGCTTGTACATCCAACACCTGCGTCAGAAATAAGGAGTGACAGTAACTGTTGTACGTCTATATGTGACCTTCACATAAAGGTAAACTGAAAATCAAAGACGACGCCAGGTTTTTACGAAAGGGGTAAGCATGTCTCCCCAAATGGAAGCAACTGCCATTCACACAATTTGCACAAAAACGTATGTATTTGTTGCCATCCGACGTGGGCCTGTACACAAATCTGAGGATCAAGTGATCGACCCGAAATTCAGTCACACGATTGAAATCCAACACACGCCCACACACTTCGACGTGAGTCACACAACTACACACATACGATAGGCACCATTCATGTGTGGTCAATATCTGTCTCAAATACCTAGGAAATACAACTTACCAGCAATGTCCAATGGCTTCCATGTCTGTGAATCGGTATAAACACTTTCTCTGCTTCCGAGAGTTTTTCCTGAAATACAACGAACATGGTCCTTTACATTCGGAACAATACTCAAATACCTACAATCTACAGTACAGGACTAAGGTTGTGCTGTCTCACGGCATTGTGTACTTAATCTCAGCCTACAAACGGTATCTCATGTCGTCCCTTGAACATCTCTGGTATCATATGTATTAACAGGCAATCGGTTGTTCACATATATTATTGAGGACATTAAATTTTGTTTTCTTTATTAGTGTAGCGAGTCTTTCACAGTAGCCTATGTTGTTGTGTTGTGGCAATTTTCAGTTAGCCATAAAATATTTAATTGAATAAAATATCACTGGTAAATTATATTTATGTTCATCTCATGTACATAGTTCGTTTCCATGTCATTATGTTAAAACATTAACCATCAAAAGAACTGCATCTATCTTCTATTAAAACGTTTCTTATGACATTCACTGCCCATATATATCTGACAACTGAAGACAGTATAACAACATGCATCCATCTTGAAAACATACCTTTTGTTTCATACCGTACCTCATATTATATTGTTAATCTAGAAGTAGTTCCAACAGTAGCATGTACATGATTAAAACGTCGCCATATACCTAGACTATTGTTTATTGTGGCATTACAACAACAAACAACATAATATCCCGTCTTAAGGTTTCATATATGTGCAACGATTAGACTTGACATGTATCCAGTTACCTGTTGCTACATTAAGGGAATGTTTGTCTTCATCAACTTTATTCAATTCATTCAATTCATTTCCTCAATATGTCGGCGTCTTTCGGCGGTTCAGAAACTCTTCCAGTGCATCTTATCTCACTTATGATACTGTCAATTTCACAAAACGCTTTTTCTTGAAGATTTAATTTTCTTTTCTCAATAATGACAAGCCTTGCAAGGCTAGGCGATTCTTATTCACCAACCGACAGTGAATGATATCTTTTCCTCAACGTCATCTTCGAAATATTCTTCTCTTTACCCATTCCCACTTTATGACAAATAGAGAATACTAAACGAGCTCCTTTGTAATACTTATCGTATGAAACGAGTGAATAGTTCTGGTATCTCACGATCGAAAGGGAGTCCGATACAAGAAACTATTCACGAGTTTCATAAAAATGTTATTAAACAGGAGCGAGCTTAGTAATTTATTTATTACTTGCCGTTTATAACTTTTCTAAATATGTTACTGACCCACTTTTACAAATATGGAAATGTCATAGAACAAACCAGATGATGTCATACTTGGGTTTTGACTATTTGTTCGGATAGGGATAGGTGACGTCATGTTCAATAGTGACGTCATCTGGTTTGTTCTATGGCGTTTCCATATTTGTAAAAGCGGGTCAGTGACATTCGTGTTGATTGCAGTAAATGTTTCAAAACCGATATCGTTGATTCTTTTTATTTGATAACAAATTCCATCCTTTTTAGCTATTATAACGGTAACGCTATTTTTCAGGGCATTATCATTTGCAGAAACCCTCGGTCTTAATGGAAGACCTCGGGCTTCTGCAAATGATAATGCACTGAAAAATAGATTTACCCTTATAGTAACATAAACTTACGTCTGTCGTTGCTCTACTATCGACTTGTGGAACAGGATGCTGCATCAAAAAGATTACAACACGTCACAATACCCTCTGACGTAATATGTAGAATATTGTTACAAGATCCAACCACGAAACAATGTCATGTGACGTCAGCATAGCATCAGGGTTGAGAGGGTCATTGCGTGTGCACACCCTCTCAGTGATCTATCGTCACTACACGCAATGTCGTTGAATAAGCCCAGGGATGTTGGGAGTTTTCAATATTTGTTACTGAAACTTGTTCCCGCAGTATATAAGCACGCGCTTTGGTATTATACAACGTGTTATACAGCTGTATGTTTATTAAACGGGTGATCTCTTTACGGGCGAATAAAAAAACTATATATTCCCTTGGCATATTTTGTCTTCAGTTTAAAATTGTAACTGCAGATATTTCTAAAAAGCAATTCTGACCTTTTGAACAAGTGGCGCCCGGCGTCTCCTTTTGGACTTGAAATGTTGCCATCCCTCTATAACTTGGCTTGATAAAGCTGCGTTTCTCTGCTTACCCCGAAACAAATAACATATTCTAAAATAGCAAGTGATATATTCAAGGACGAATATTGTTTTGGTATTTGCACACATTATCACAATTTGTAACAAAGTTGATTAATCTATTAATGAATGACATGGCATCTTGTAAACATATCTACATATCATTTTGTACATATCATATGTATATATCACGGTATGTTGAATATCCTGTCACTTACCCCCCGCCTTTGACACAGCACATACAAGAAGACGTTTATTATCTGCAAAGAAACATAATATTATTAACGTTATTGTTCCACTTTATCACCGTTTAATAAATGTACTTCATGTGTATACAGTGGTGTACACATACCTGATCATTTAACCAGCCCACAGTCCATCTGGTCTCTTTGTCAATTTTCACTCTCAGCTGGTCTTCTGTTTCTTTCGGAAGTATTGGTGCTATTGTCAGAATATCCAATTTTGATATTCGGTAGGGACCTATCGTCACTACTATTTCGTCCAATCTTCTGTCATCATTACAGATATCTTGAAACTGAAAAACATACAACAAATTATATCTATATATCAAAGATATCATTGTATCCGCCAAGTTTATATTTCCTTTATATATTGTAAGTGTACTTAGTTATAGGTTACAAGTAACAGTTAAAGTTAAACCGCCCTGTAATAACAAACATTATTACATGACTCTCTACCTTAAGGCAGTTCGTCCTGTATCGTAAGCATATTTGTAAAGACGAAAATACATCACACTCACCACATCCTCCGCTGGCAATGGTGATGAATCTGCTTGCGCGGTGGAATATTCCACTTGTCCTAAAATAACAATGACGGATTGTTTCGGCAACAGCTTGCTAAAATGACATATACGTCATGTATACTTTTTTTATTACTTGTACTTATATACATTGTAAGTGATTCCATGGCATTTCATTGACTAACCAAGGAATTTTAGGCGGAAACAATTACCGAAAAATATTTAGGTCACTAACGAACAACTGTGTTATGATTGGCTTATGAAGTGTGTGCGCTGTTTTAGCTCGAAAGGTTGGCTACATTTGTTTGTTTAATGAACAGTCTGTGAAGTTACTATCGTTGACGTACTTATTTATGCTTATGTACACAGTGTGCAAACCGGTTTTTACCTTTATACCAACATAAAAGCAAAAGATATATATTGAAGTTAATTCTTAAATGTAACACGTCAACGACAGCGATTAACCAGTCTCGATAATCTGACGAAACAGATTCCACTGGGCGTAAAAGGCTCAATAGTGGTGATAGTTAAAGGAAATATTCCGCGTTGTATGCGGTTGTATTAGATTCTATACTTTGTATTTATTTAGAATAAGTCGCCAGCGCTTGTCTTAAGAGACGACTAAAATGTATCGGATGATAACACTTATTATGCCAACCACTGGCCCAGGTTCTTGAATTAGAAGAATTGATATAGAAGAACTGTTGGTGAAAGCAAATGTGTGGCAAAAGTGGGTACTTATTTCATATTTGATCTTTTAGTTACTTATACATGAAACCCGTATGAATGAAAATATTGAATATAGAATACTTACCAGCACGTTGGAAATCTAGACTTTGATAATGTGCTTCATGATAGTGACCTAACATAATAGCCGCTCCTGGTCCACCACATATCATTACAACATTGCTGTCGGACGCGGTTCCATCTTCGGAACTTGTGAAAACGGCAATGTCCTTTTTGAGAAACTGCGATGTTCTCTGTACTACAAGGTGATCAACGTATTCACCCGGTGTAGACATGGCCTCCAAGTAAAGGTTCCAGGTTTTGTGCCGTTGCACATCGACAAAATTGGATAGGTGTGTGCCTCCTTCCTATAGAAAACATGTATATATAATTGACGTTACACAAGCAGGTTTGGTAGAATTTTAATTAGTAATTCATCATATATCAATTTTAGGCACACTTAGGGTGTGGGTGTAGCATTGTGGCTGAAACGTTTGCTTGTCACGCCGCAAGCCATTGTTACATTTCCCACATGAGTACCATCTATGGATCTAATTTCTGAGGTCATCAACGGTTCCATTGACCGGCTAAAACCACGATCACTCTCTGAAATTAAACACCTACATGCGCCTTAAACTCTAATCATAGCGAGGTGAGGTTGAATGGGGCGAGGAACAAGGAGCTGTCATCTATTCGCTGTGCAGAGTTACGTCCATTAACCATGTTAGAAAATACCGACCATGTACACAGCTATAGAACTGACCTTATCCTCCACTTTAGTCGGCATGTTTTATGCCAGTCGTGGAACTGCCTTGTCCAGCGAAATTTCGTACCTCCACCTGAACCCCACTGAATACCTGTGTTATGAATTTGAATGATGTGCGCAGACATCCTGTATCATCTGTATTCACTTATCGAGTGTATCTGCACCCGAAGGGCAACCCCAGTACCCTCACCAGACCAATAACACGTAACATATGCACAAATATATGGTCCGGTGTGCACTTACATAAGGATACCTCCGTAGGCTGTCAACTACTGCCATCCTTAGTCCCCTGTGGTCAAACACTGATCTGGTATCGAGGCGTTGAAGCTGATCTACAACTGCGTGGAAAAAACAGTTGCCATCTCCGGGAGTTCTCCCTCTAAAACGCAGCCCGTGTTCGGTTACCGAGGCCAGAAGTCGTTCTGATGTCCCTTGGCAAAACGTTGTCACGTTTGATGGACTAGCCTTCTGCAGTGCTTCTTGCAGTTGTTTCAAGGTAACTTTGTGATCTGTATCATACAAAAGTACAATAAAAAGTAGGCAATATGTGTGTGTGTGTATATATATATATATGTGCGTGTGTGTGTGTGTGTGTGTGTGTGTGTGTGTGTGTGTGTGTGTGTGTGTGTGTGTGTGTGTGTGTGCACATGTATCAATCTAGGCACGGATCGAGTCTATAGTCTGTGTGTGCATATCTTTAAATATTATGTTCACTAGGATGAGTCGTAACGAGGATATTCCATCACTGCCATACAGTCAAACACTTGTATGCAGAAACCCTAAGTTCAAGATGAAAATGCCCAAATGATCAATACTGACACTTCTCAATTCTTCGTGATAGAGAATTCCCAGGAGTTTCCCATGGGGATGTGGAAGAAGTCCGCCATTGTTTACGACAATTTCTGAAATACAGTCTCATGAAGACATGCATCTAAATTTCAATGTGTGTTGTTCATACGCTTATAAACGTCAGTTTCGTGGTCATGTGACCGGCCTCTTGACATGATATGTGACTTCATGACATGTGAACTTCACATTAAAACATTATATTAATGTGTTAAAAAATACATGCAGGTCAACAGATTCATCAGTGAAATGACTAATATTTGATGCCGCTGTTAGCACTATTCTAGCAATATCCCATACAGGGACATAAGACATTTGCTTCATGCATTTCCCACGTGTGAAATCGGACATTGACCATCGGGAAGAACACCGACCTCTAGGGTACCACACTGCCCAACAGATACATAAATGTTACTTACATTTGAGCGATATTTTCTTGTGCTTCTGTGCGTCTTCAGTCCTCGTCCAAAGGTCTGTTTTCTCTGTAAATATGAAAGGTCAACACCAGAACGATTATCTCGATTATCCGACGAAGCAGATTCCATTGGTTGTAAAAGGAACAATAGCCTTGAAAATTATATGAATGGATCACTGAAAAACAACAGATAAAGTTTAACATACCATTGTAAAAGTTCAAATAAAATACAACAAGAGCCTTTATTATTTCTTGTCATCTAACTTATAATTAGACATGGCACGTAATGGATGCTAAATCATGCTGCATGTTTAGGTACATGTATGTCAACATGTTAGAAATAAATTGTATCAATTTACCTTCTTTTTCTGCTGCATTGTCCAAATCTGGAAGGTAAAATGTCACTTTGGAAATGAAATACGACGCTTGTGCGTGCTGATTGGCGTATATCGTCAAAATAATGTCAACCTATTATATTGTATTCAATTTCTTCATATAGACGGTGGAGTACCCTAGTGGTTAAAACGCTTGCTGGTCACGCTGAAGACCCGGGTTCGATTCCCACATGTGAAGCCTATTTCTGGTGTCCCTCGCCGCAATATTGCTGGAATATTGATGAAAGCGGCGTAAAACCATACTCACTCACTCGCTTCCCAATAAACGTCATATATGATCATGTCATAGAATGCCACTTATAAGTTCTTACCTGAAAGATGCAGGCGGCCAAACTTGTCATGACGTATTTCACCATACGAAATGTCTGTGTTCAGTTTTCCTTTGATTGCTTCTGTCATTTTCCTGTTTGTATGTTCATTGTGAAAATGTAGAAGCAATCGCAGGACAAACATGTAGTTACCCGGCGACATCGAATCTAGAAAGTAGTTGTTCCGGTTCATTTCCCTGTGCAGCTGCTCTTCAACTTGTGAATTTATTGAGCCCTTCATTTCGGGAACAAATGTTATACGCCTTAGGAGTTCCTCATCTGATTTTGTATTCCCTTCATGAAACCTATCCAGCAAACAGAACGTTTCATTTGAGGTTGGCAATTCATTGTCGGAGACTGGTGCTACTGTCACCCATTCCTTCATGCAAGGTATACTCTTTGAAAATACCCCCTCCTTAGCTTTTTTTATGTTGTCTGCAGTCGCTTCACCCAAGCGTCCTTCGTTGGGCGAGAACATGTTCTTCCGCCGCTTGTTACCATGGCGTGACATCATTGGGGCTACGTCACTAATGATGACTGGCGGTTGTCTTGACATAGATAGAATTATGTCGACATGGTCTCTGACACTTTCAGGCCTCAGAATAGCTTTGAACGCGTACACTATTCTATGGGGGCAGGACGCTGATACCCATCCACCTGAATGAACATTAACATAGTGATGGGACACATTTGGTTTAACCTTGCTTTTAATAGTATACTATATCCTCCAGTAGTCAGAATGTGCTCGGATCCGAGCAGAGATTGTGGAGTTTCAAGTTACAAAATGACATTCCATTAACAGACTCAGTGCTGGTTCTTATGCAGAGGGGGCTGGGGATGGCTTATCTTGAAGACATTTAACGAAAATAATATTACCAAGCAAAAGCCACTGTGTTACAAAGTAAGTAGTTATTTTGCATCATTTGGTCTGGCACTTGAATGTGGGAACACACACAGCGTACACATACATTGAACAATACCCTAAATTGCATGTTTATATTAATAATATGTTTTATTCATCATTTTAAATGCAATAGTAGGCATAATTACCAGAATGGCCCCATATGCTTGAAAATAACTTGTTGAAGGTTGATTTGCTTTTCAACTTTTCCTTCAAGCTGTTGATCATCTCTAATTTGGTCCCTTTGGCGTCTACTTCCATCTTTGTACACCAGTGCCGTACATCCAGAACCTACATGATATGATATAGAAAATGTCGAAAACATGAGTGACTATGCTTATCATATCATATCATATCATATCTCAATTTGTAATATTACTACCTACGCATATCAAGATTGCAAGAATTATACAAATGTGTCTAGTTGATATCAATAAGGCCTTTCGATTATGTCATATTTACCTTCTTTTCACATAACATTTGGATCAGGAAATCTTCAGTCAGTTCCTTATCCCCTGTATCAAAATCTGTATCTTGAAGATGGGTTCTGAGAGATCGTACTTTTTCAGCTTCAGTGTTGAAAGCATTTTCATCTTTTCTGGCTAATCCAATGAAAGGAGCCCAGTTGTCATAACTAGGTGTAACACGCCCGACGTTGGCTGCTTCTGCCAGGGAATGAAATGATAAATACATTATAGTGTATATAAACAATATCCTTACAGTAAGTTTAATTTTAGTTCCCCCCCCCCCCCCCCCTCTCTCTCTCTCTCTCTCTCTCTCTCTCTCTCTCTCACTCACTCACTCACTCTCTCTCTCTCTCTCTCTCTCTCTCTCTCTCTCTCTCTCTCTCTCTCTCTCTCTCTCTCTCTCTCTCTCTCTCTCTCTCTCTCTCTCTCTCTCTCTCTCACACACACACACACACACACAGACAAGATGAGTCATTTATAATACAATATGAGGATTTGCACCTTTTCCAAAACCTCGAAGTAAAATAGACGCCTCCACCGTTTGGCTCCAAAACACATCCATGTTGATTCCATCTGTAGCTGTTTCTGTCCCTGGTACTTGTGACACTGTAAGCAATACATGTTTACCATAACAGACGAGAGAACAGGGATAAGGAAACATCATTATGGGATATTGTTTGTGATCAACCATGAGATAATGGACCTTACATTTTTGCTTTCCATTTTTATATTTTGAAACTACATCGTTAATGCGCTTATACATTTCTTAGACACTGGAAGTTATAAAATAGACTTACATGCTAATGGAAATGCACATTTCCTATTTGCATCTGTCACCAGGCAACATGGAAAACGGCCACAGATGTCACAGGTAAAGTTGTACTTGTGATCGCACATTGCCTCAAAGTGCAGATATCCCTGTAACATTTTGTCTCCGGGAAAATGTAAGCCGGAATCTTCTGATAAGATGTCGGCAGCCCTTCCTACGGCTGTATGATTCTGAAACCATTAAGCAGGCGAAATTGATCACATTCATTATGCCGATATTTTAAACTAATCCTAAGTTAACAGTCAAAAGTGTTTAAAGTCCGAATGTCACCGGCCCACATCAAGTGCATATATCAACAAACAATGCGCCATACAACAATCAGATATCACGATCACATAAATATGCAAAGTGTTGTTTTGGAGAAGGGAGTCGTCCATAAACTAACTAAATTAGGTATAATGTACCTTCAAGTTAACTCTGAACCAGTGGCACAGGCGAACTGACAGGAACACGTGGTCGTCAAAATTGTGTATACCATCCCTGTGCTCTTGGTACCTGTAGAAGTGACCGCACGCTTTGCACTTCTTTATGAAAACAGCTATATCTGACAATGAAATAATGTAATTAAAACATTGTAGAGAAAAGTCATATTCAAAATCATACTATTATGATACACTATACAGACAATCGCAACCTTGTGTTTTTTATGCCAACTATATCAACACGGTTCAATAACAGTTTAAATCGCCATAGCTTGCCCAGTTTCCATGGTAGACAGATTAGTTATGCCATTAGATAGTTATGTTGTGACAACTTATGACGTCACAATAGTCTGGAGAGCATTATGATGCAGTTTCATTGAAGCAATATGTCCTAGGTAATATCGCATCATCTCACCCAAGCAATATCACCTGTCGGATTACAAATTACAGTCCACATTCATAAATTGGCTCTCATTTGCTAGGAAGTAATTTTCATTTGTTTGCATAAATTGTTGTAAGGTATTTACGGTCACCATACATACCTGTATACACATGACCTTTATCGTATATCTTCCCCTTTCTGGTTACCAGATACTGGTCAAGTTCTCCTCCATCTGCACACATTACACAATGTGTTTCGATAGGCGACAGGTTTTCTAGATGTCCTAATTGGGCATTTTCCGGAACTTTAAAATCTGGTGGTATTTTCTTCCTGGACATTAGATAATTGGCCATTAAACGTGCACCTTGTCCGGATGGTGGGTATGTCTTACAGAAGCTGCTTCCGGAATCTTGTAAGGTTCGGGTTTCAAAGGTGACCGATGTTGTTGGTTCCTCGCTACGATAATGTCCAACTGATACCCCTTCATTCTCACTACAGATGTAACCGCTTCCCTTGGAGCTAATGTGCAGCAACTCTGGGTGTTCCTGTGCCAAATACCATTTGACAAGAGTCTTGTGTACGCAAGATTTGGTGGTTTTACAGCAAACGCAATTCAGCTGTCCTTTGTCCTTGAAGAATGTGACTACAGCGCGACCGAGTTTAGCCCAGTATTCCTTCGTTCCATCATACACGGAGAAATAAACGCTGTTTACAGAGTGCTTCTGCTCCCATAAAACGACGACAGGTATTTTGCTTTGTTCTGCAGTGCCTACAAGCTTCTGGGCAACCTGCATGTTAGTAGAATGTATTACCTTCTGTTGACAAAGATTTTCAGCATGTTCTGACTGGAGGTGTACTTCTTTCGGGCATTCACTTGCAAACATAACTGATTGCAAATGGGGGCACTGATAAATACCTACATTGCCCCTTGCTGCAACACCCAAAGCTAAATTGCAATTTTCATGTTCACATTGTATCTGCTGTGTGACAGTGTTCATTTGTACATGAAGTGGGTAATCTGGACCGATACTGGACTTGCTGATCATGTAGAGACCGCGGTGTTTATCAACGCATATTCCACGTTGGTATGACTTGGTTTTCAATTCATCCCGTGCATTGTGTGTCTCAATATGTCTTTTAATGTTTTTCTTAGAGATCATTGCATTGCAGACAAAACATGTCTCTTTCGGAACTTGCTCTCTCTTCACTTTTTGGATGTTAGGGGACTCTGCTGAAGTTCTTTCCTCAGAAGCTGTCTGGTTTGTTGTCAGAACAAAAGGGCAAACCGTGGTCGTGTGTCGGACAAATGTGAACTTTCTCCGAAAGAGTTTACCACACGGGCAGTGGTAATGGCACCGGTCTTGTTTCGGAGTACAATCCAAAAAGCAGCTTAACACCCATAAATCTGCAAGGACACAAATACGGATTATTATACCGGACCGCCTCCGTGGTCTAGTGGTAGAACGTCCGCCCGGTGAGCGGAAGGTCCGGGGTTCGATCCCCGGCCGCGTCATACCAAAAGATGGTACTTGTTGTTAACATGTCTGGCGCTCGGCATTAAGGTGCTAAAACAAGGACTGGTCGGCTCGGAGTCAGTATGCTGTCTCTGTGTGGGGTATTCATGTTAAACTGAGGCATGGTATCTTAGTGAGCTAGCACTATAAAACGGCATCAGTCCGGACCAGTACAAGCAGCCACTCACACAAACACGTGCATGCACGTCACTAAATAGTGCAATAATCTTCGAGGCGACGTTAAACCCCATTTTACCTCACCTCACCTCACTGTTATACCAGATAAAATGGTGCGTTGGGCTTGTGAGGTTGTGTAATGGACACCGTTTTACACGTATGCGTAATGCCACGTATACGCTAGGTACATACCACGCAATATTAGATTAATAACAAACACCAATTTATACATACCCCCAACTTTGACGGCATGTTGTGTGTGCTTGTTGATGTGTCCTTCCTTGACATTGTACCGCCGTGACGTTGATTCTGGACACAGTTTGCACTGGAATATTCCATCAACTTTAGCCAGTAAACTCTTACATGTGCCGAGCTCTTTTGTGTGCCATATGTCTTCATTCTGTAGACAAAGGTAGAAAGTGTAAAATCAACAAGTTTTCAAAAGAAGTCCTATTTTTCTATTGCTTGAGACTCCCGGACACTGAGTGGTGTAAAGCCACTTACATTTATGAGTACTCAATGAAACATAACGCGTCGATATCCATTATCTTCGCCGTGCATTTATGAAAACCTGTAACCAACTGAAGGTAGGGTGCTACAATGTCTAGGTTACATGGCCACTGTAGATAATAATACTCACGTTTGTTTCACAACGTCCATGCCTGGAAGAAATAAAATAATGACAATATATAAACATTTGAAGAAATGTGTACAACCATTAGAATCCTTAAATTTATGTTAACACTGTTACCAGTTTTTAGCACAAGGTGTAGGCAGTTTAAACTAGAACCAATGTCTTTATAACTAGGAATATATGCTCTTGGTTTATGTATATCACAATTCCATTAACGAGTTTCAGCCATCTCTTTCTATAACCTTATATAGTACGAACAATATAGTTAACATATACCATTACTTTCTTATTTGTGTGTTAGTGAGTGAATGAGTGCGTGCGTTCGTGTGTTCGTGTGTTCGTGTGTACGTGTGTGTGTCTATGCAAACGTCTCAATTGAAATAGCCTGAAAACTTAGTGGCACATCTGTGAAGCTCACATGTTTCGCATAGAAAAGGTTTAATATACGGGTTTGAAATATTATAAATATTATTATCTCTTTCCTTTACCATTTAGGCATAAAATAACTTTAAAACAGTCGCTCTATACCCCCTTTTAGAAACTATATTGCTTCCCTTTACTACATGGGGTTGTCTATGCAAACGTTCTTATGGACATAGCCTGAAAACTAAGTGGCACATCTGGGAGCCTCGCATTTTTCGCATCGAAGTAGTTTAAAATACGTATTTGAAATACTATTTTCTCCTTCCTTAACTGTTTAGGCATAAATAACGTAAATGTATTCGCTCTACACCCCGTTTGGAACGCTAAAATACGGGTTTAAAATAGTATTAGTTCTTTTCACATTCATTTAGGCATCAAATAACTTAAAAAGAGTTGTTTAAAAACGCACTTTGGGAAGATATATGGCTTCGCTTTGACACGATCATCGATCCCGATTGCGTGAAGAGATGCGCATCATATTAAATACTGGATTGTCTGGTCCAGACTCGATTATTTACAGACCGCCGTCAAATAGCTCGAATATTGCTGAGTGCAGCGTTAAACAACCAAACAACCAACCAACCCAACCAACACGAGGGGCTGTCTATGCAAACGTCCCTTTGGAAATGCCCTGAAAACGTAGTGGCACATCTGGGAGCCTCGCATTTCTTGCATGCAAATAGTTTACAATACGTGTTTGAAATACAATGTTCACCTTCCTTAACTAGTTAGGCATAAAAAAACGTAAACGGAATCGTTCTGTGTCCCGTTTGGAAAACTATATTTGAAATACTATTTTCTCCTTCCTTAACTATTTAGGTATAAACAAACGTAAAAGGAGTCTCTCAATACCCCCTTTGGAACACTATATGGCTTTCCTTTAACACGGGGGAGATTATCTACACAACATCCCTTTGGAAATAGCCTGAAAACTTAGTGGCAAATCCAGGAGCATGGAAATAGTTTCAAATGCGGGTATGCAGCATTATTATCTCCTTCCTTCCATAAGAATGTTTAATGACATAACAAAACAAAACATAACATAACATAACATAACATAACATAACATAACATAACATAACATGAGAAAAAGTAATATTCAAATGAATGTATTTTACATAAAAAGAACAATAGATACTCATTTCCACTGCGCATATGATAAAGACTAAACCTAAACGCCCTTCACCCTACCGTCATTCAATACGTATTGTCCCCGACATGAAAGATACGTGGAGTGCTCTTCTTTATGAAATTTTAATATTTTACGTTTCACATGCGAGCACATACTAATCGAAAACCATTTGAAACCCATTAAACAAAACTCTGGACATATTATACCCGCAAACATGGAGAAAAGAAACGCCTCTATTTTAATAAATTACTAAAAACTAACACGTGACAATGTACATGTTTCCCAAAGTGGCATTTTGAAAGCAAATCCTGCTTCCTTTCAACGTTGCACGAAAACTTAAAAAAATAGTACGTACCTTGCAAGAAATATTTTTTTGGACATGATCCAGTCTTGAAAGTTACATAGCCCTGTTTGTGAGTTCTCAGCGCTCTGTAAATATCTGAGTCTTATTGAGAGTCTGTTGTGAGATGCCCTGGGTGTGTTAAAGGCTGACCACGGCCTAAGTTTCAAAAATCTGTAGCTAGCTGGTGTTAGCACTTTTATCATGAGGCAGGATGTTCCTTGTTTATATGTATCAGTTAGCCCTGTCAACTTCATGAACCTCATTCTTACAGAATGTCAACCGCATGCCCCATTCTGGGTTTCAGGTAGTATGTGCTTATCTTTTAGGATCTCACAGAAGCACTAAATGTGTTATCCAGTTATTGCTGTGACATCTCTAACTCCCTAGAAACTCCTCTGGGATCTGGAACTTGCCACAGAATGTATCACGTCACAATAAACAAACAAGTCCCCTAACAGACCCTAAAAGGAAAGAGTCTAGAGAGTCTAGACTTCTTGTTTCCAAAAATGAAGATATTCATTCTGGATTAAGGAAGGGCTACCGAACATCAAGTAATGTATTTGTTCATAAAATATTTATTTAATAGTTTTAACAAAAAGTAAAAAGAAAAATGTATACACTTCCTTTGTAGACTTTCAAAAGGCCTCTGATTCAGTTGACAGAGCACTACCCCTAACAAAGCTATTTCACATAAAATGTCAGGAAATAGTTCTTATAAAGTGAAAATTGACGGGGCATTTCACAATCCTTTAAATCCAACATCGGCATAAGACATGGGTGCATTTTGTCTCCCAGATTATTTAATATATTCCACAATGATCGTCCACCACATATCAAACAAGAAAATAACAAAATAACACTTAATGCTTTAAACATTTGTCATTTGTTGTTTGCCGATGACTTTGTACTTTTTGCCACTTCCAAAAATTCTGCACGAGTTATTTGATGGTCTAAGAGTATTTCGTGTAACAAATAACCTAAAGATTAAAGGTGAAAAAACAAATGTTGCAGTGTTTGGCAAATCAAGTAAAATAGAAGAAACGAATACTTGGACCTTGGTTGGTGCAAAAATTCTAGTTATGGATAGATATAATTATTTATGAATAACATTTGAAGCAAATGATAAACTTAATAATAGCGCCAAACCTCCCTTGAAATAGGGTCTAGGTACTACCATAAGCTTCAGTCTACCAATAATCTACCCAAATCTGGGGTATAGACGCAACACCCCTAGTCTGAACAACTTTGATTAATTAATCCCCGAGAAACTGCGGCGCCGATGTTGTATATCCATGTTAGGTGTCAACAAAACAACACACAATTGGGCAAGGCGAGCAGAACTAGGATTCTATACTCTTATGTACACAGTACTAATATAAATTACGAATTGCTATCACTATGGTGGTTCTTCAACATAGTGAAATTCTGCTTTACCCACTAGGCTACCCGACCGCCCCGTTCCATGTGATAGGAAAGCCCGAAGTGATGCAGGTGTCAGACGTTAACCACTTCGGTGAAACCCACGAGCACGGTTGTCGTACTGACCAAATCTAGAAACATAATCGGGGCGAACCGGGATTCGAACCCACGATCATAGATTTCTGGCGTGCCCAAGGGACGCGCTTTTCTGCACAGCGAATTGCTGCGCCTCAGACGACTCGGCCAACCGTGCCCCAAAAGGTGCAAGAAAAAACTGAGGACATTCAGGACAGTTAAAAATGAAATAAGATTAGAATCATATTTCAGTCACTGTAAAATAAGAAAATATCGAGTGCACTTTTCTAAACTAGGAGTAAGTAACCATAAATTAACTATAGAACTTGGAAGACATACAAAGCCACCCACCCCACTACATCAGAAACTATGCTCTACATGTTCAACCATTAATGAGGAAAGACACTACCTACTTTATTGTATCAAACACACGAAAGAAATAAATATACTCTTTGGAAAAGTATCCACACAAAATGTAAATGTCCACAATAATGAAAACATATTATTTCACCACATCCTCTCAAATATTTAGCCATCAACATCAATTGCATATGTTTCAAATGGATGGTGTCGAACAATAGATTCCCGTGGATCAACCTATGACATTTTATGTATAATATCATCAAATCTGTACTGTTGATATTTTCTATGCATTAAATTATTTCTTTGTGTTTTCAGGTATGTATGTCTGTCTGTATATGTGTATGTATGAATTATGATGTGTTTTTTTCGGGAATGGATTGTTTTCTGCAATAAATATCCTTTCCAGATACAAATAAATCAGACATAATCCTATTGTACCTATGCTGTCATACAGATCATGAAACAAATATATCCATTACAGTCCCTTCCAAGCCTATGATATTTGGCAAGTCAAGATTACTGCAGTATCAGGGTCTGTACAAATCTGCTGAAATCACAGGCCTTGTAATCATCAGTTAATCTCCAGCTGGCATTAGTGACACCACACCAAGACCTCCTGCTCCTGCTCTTCCCCTGCCACTCGAGCTCTGGCCAGACATGTGTGATGACATTGGAGACCTGGTGACATATACAACCTTACCAAGCTCCGACTGAGTCTTCACAGCCTGGAAATTGAGAGGGGGAGATACTCCAACACCCCAGTTGAAAATAGGTTCTGTCCGCACTGTGACTGCCATTCCGTAGAGGATGAAGAACACTTCCTGCTTTCATGCCCACTATATACAGACCTTAGGAGAAATCTGATGGCACTGGTAGAAATAGGCGACCCTTCCCAGACCGATAAAACAAACCTCTTAAAACACTTTATGAATCCACCAAAAGAATGGTCAAGTCTTGTTGCCCGGACTATATACCACATGTACAAGCTGAGGCCATAAGAAAATTCTATTATATTCGATCCAATTAAGTGAAATAACCAGCAATAACCTAATATACATAAATGTTTATATGATGTAAATGAAATAATGCCTCTATACAAAATGTACATCATATATACATATACCTGTCATATCTATAATTATATACATGTTCATATGTAGATAGTCTGTACCCTGCCCTATGAGGGTGTTCAGTACAATAAATTCTATTCTATTCTATACAACCTTTGTATTTTTTTTAGTTGTTTAATTGGTTGGCATTTCTGGTTAAAAAT